TCGCGGCCCCGCGGCTGCGCCCCGGGAGGAGCCACCGGCTCCCCGGACCGTCCCCGGGGAGGCTGCTCAGCTCGTTGTGCCCCGTCCTCGTTGGAGCTGCCGCAGCCCCGAGGGGCTCTGGGTGCCCCAGGACCCCCCCCCAGCAGCGCTGAGCGGCCCCCGGGCAGCAAGAAGCTGCTTCGTGCTCATCCTGCCCAGTGTCAGGGCAGGGGGGACCGGGGAGGATCAGCAGCTCCCAGCCAAGAACCTCTCACACGTGTTTTTCAAAGCAGAAAGTCTCAGTTCTCGTGCCGCGGACCAGCTCGTCCATCAGGTTTCCCCACCCCGTGAGGTGTTTGCTGGGAACTTCCTGCACGGATGGGACCTGCCCCAAAAGGCCTTGAGGATGAGGAGCGGATGAGGGACAAAGCCCTTTGAAACTGCCCTTTCAGAAAAAGAAAGAAGCCTGGATTTAAGGTATGTTTTATTTTAGTGTTCCATGAAACCAAAAGGCATCTAAAAACAAACACATACCCAGGCTAAAAGCAGAGTATAAACAGGGAAAAATACATTCAGATCCTTCAATAATAACACATTTGATTCGTAAGGCCCCTCAGGTCAAGGGAAAGCACCTTGCTGGACAGAAAAAGCCAGTCCCCCCTACAACAAAGACAGGTTTGAGGTACAGGAAAGCAGCTTTTGCTTTCCAGAGATCCAGAGGCACACGGAGGGAATCAATCAATCCTTCATCTTCCTCACTCTTTCAAGGCACAAGAAGCAGCAGCAGTTTTTCAGTAAGATCAACCAGTACCAATCAAAATTAAAACCACCAAGAGCTGAAGGTGCTGCTCAGACCTTCTGCATCTTGGACCCTTCCTTCACAGAAGAGGGCACAGCAGGAAAACCAACAACCCCTTCAAATCAAAGCAGAATGAGAAAAAAGTACCTGAAGTCTTAGAAGACTCTTAATGCTTAAGGCTTGTTCCAGCTTGAGCTTCCCCAGAAGGAAAGTCCTGTCAGAAAAGCTCCAGACTTTGGTCAGTTTACAGTATTAAAAATGGAACTAACAGCACTTTGTGAATTTCCCAACAACTGTACACAGATCTAGGAGAATATATTAAACTGTTCTTCCCTACAAAACCACAGTATTTGAGAGTCCCCAGTAGATTTCAGTGTTTTATGACATCAGTGAGCAGCCTTCTGAGGTTGACAGTCAATCCAGCTGATCTAGGCCCTCAGTAAAGTGCTTGGCTGTAGGAAAATGGAGTTGGAAAGTGGCCCCTTTGGATCAAAGCCAGGAGAGACCCAGCAGACCCTCTCAACTTCCACAGGCAGCAGCGTTTGCTTTGGTCCTACCCACTCTTGGTATCTCAAGATACCTCTTCCTTCTAAACCTTCATGGACTCTGATGAATCCCAGAGCTGCCAAGAGGCATCGGGTTGTTTTGGTCTGTGACAGCTCACCAGAAAAAAATCCAGGCCTGGTTTCCCAGCAAGAGCAGCTTGTCCTGGTGGCTGCTCTGTAGTCCAAGGGGACCATTCCCAGCGCAGCCACACCAGGGAGGCAGCCTGGGAGGTTGGATGGTGAAGCAAAGCCAGCTCTTGCACTCAGCTGCTGGAAACCTCCATTCTGAGCAGCCAGGCACTGAGAGAACCCCCTGAGGTCTGAGCTCCAGTTCTGCTCCTCAGGGAGGCTGATCCAGTTCCTCTCGTGGCTGAACAAGGCACAACAAAAAGAGCTGTCAGACTGATGCAGGTTGTTCCAAGTTAAGTCCCAGCTCTGAGGTATTTAAATCTAATAAACTGCAATGGTGTAAGAGGAAAATGGTCTCAGAACTCCCAGACAGCAGGAGACAGGGACCAGGCACACGTGCTGTGACCCCCACCCCTGTGCCAGAGCACAGACAGAACTCAGACCTGCCTTTGCCTCCCTCCTTGGAATGACCTT